TTTTCTGTGCACTTTGGAGTTTTCATTGTAACGCTCAATCGAAAGCTTATGGTTTAGGCTTAGCAGGTCATCAAATACGTTATTTTCATGTTGAAATAAATGTCGACATTCGAAAACCCCTTCTAAGATGTATTTCCGAGCTCTAGCACTACTATACATAACTTTGCAATTTTTTAATAAAAAAGCCGCCTCAATTCTGGGGGGAGAGTATATAAATATAAATATTCCTACACTGGTATTAAAAAAATTAAAAAAGGCAACTCACCGTGCTTCTCCTGTTAACGGTTCTCCTTCTAGAATCATTCTTAGGTAGAACGGTTTCGACACTCTTACATGTTTAGCCATGTTTAAGAAATTTCTTTTAAACAAATTTGTTATGATTTGTTCACACTCCTCCTCCGACAGATTTGCAGAAGCGTATTCTAAGATGGATTGTCTGAAAACCAGATAAATTACACTAAATTACATTTTTTAGAGTCATTCGCTTACATTTCCAGGCTATTATCTCTTAAACGGTCTATCAGAGCAGGCAAAACGTTTTCGTCTTTTATTTTTTTTTTATGGCTTCTTAATGTTTTAATCAAAAACTCAGACGTGACACCATTATCCAATAGTTCTAAGGGTTTCAATTGTAGCTCTTCTAACTGGCTCCAGGTCTTTATTTTTCTCCTGACAAAGAGGTTCACACAACGCGCTTTAAGGAAGGACTCTTCCTCGCTTGTTTGGCAACCCAGTTTGTCAATTAAGTGCAGTTGCATCTCCTCGAGACTCGAACACTCAAGAAGCATCGACGTGTCCACATTATAAACTTTGCGATAGAACTCCATAACTTCGTCGCTAAGTTCTATTCTATCTACTTCTATCTGATAAAAGTCATTATTTTCAACGTAAAGAATTAGGCGCCACCAACCATGTTTGTGTTTGGGGACTTTATATAGCTCTTTTATGAAGGTAGAAAAAAGCAGTCTGATTTTAAAATAAAAGTTGTTAGCCTCAATAAAAACTTCACAGCAGTTCTTGTTAAAACTTTCAATGTGATCTTCAAAGTCTGAGCATTCTTCAATTTTCCATATTAATCGCTCTGCTACCCAACGACCTTCTCCTTTATCAAAATGAAGCTCTACAAAGTTCATATATTCGCTCAAGGAAAACTTATTGATTGTGTCCTGTAAAAGATAAAAGAACGGTTGGTTATTGACGGACACTCAACCATTTTCATGAAGACTTACTCTGAAAGCATCAAGTATATATTGGGTTACTGCCTGTCGCAGATAAATATTTTCAATGGCTCGACGACGAGAGCATAAATGTTGAAGATACTCCTTATCAGACTTGGAGTTAGTTAGACAACGGTGTAATATGTTTAGCCAGTGAATCAGAGGGAGGCTCTTCCAGGGAATTTCAACTAGTGCCTCCAGCATCTGATTATTGGCACTTCCATCAAATAGGCTAAAAGTCTCCATCGTAAGATAATTGTTGTCTTCGCAGTCGTACAACTCATTTCGGTTGCTGGCAATTAGTAGTTTTGGCAGCAGGTTCAAGGAACACACTTGGGTAAGAGATATGTGAAGCAGAATGAAGCGGAGGGCCTCGCACAGGATCGGGATTCTCTCCTCCTGCAGGAGTCGAAGGCACAAGAAGCGCAGCCATGTCGGAGACTTTATGTCATAAATGTTTATACGCCTTTGTAGTACAGTCATAGTTATATAGAGGTCCTTACTTGATACGGTTCGAATCATGCGCTGCGGTATCCCCAACAGGGGTAGCTGGGAGCTTAGAGTGCTCAAAACCAGGTCGGTCTGCTGGTTTTCCAGACTATCTATGATTTTCACAAAAGCGGAAAACTGCTTACCACTGCACTGCAAGGCATCCAGTAGGATTTGGTAAATCGCTCCTTCAGTTTCGCAGAACAACTGCATTTTGCTTATCAGAAAGCAGGCGGATCTGATTTTTTGGGGTTCCCCGGACTCCAGGAGCCTTAGTGTGGCTTGTATTAATTTCCCAAGACATTCTTCTTTCTGCCCATATAGAATATCGTTGGCTATGGCCAGGAGTTGGTGCACCAGAAGCTTTCCATCCACCTGACGATGTCGTGGAGGCTTTTCCTTCGGGCTCTCAGCCATTGGTGAAGATATGAACTTTATCAGTTGAGGGCCAAATAAGGGGCTTCCATTCCCATTGTTCTGCTGCAGATTGTTGAGTCCAAGGAGCATTCGCTTGAGGTCCTGCTCGTTGTCCTCGAGAATCTCCACCAGGTCCACCAGAAAGTCATCCATCTCGGCTTGTTGCTCGTAGTAAAGTGAATTTAATCGACAGAGTTTTTGCAATTTTAAAGTGGTTTTTTGTAATCGTGATAAGGTGATAAAAAAGCTTTCCACTTTATATTAGTCCAAGTTGGCGGAAGCAGTAAAGAACAGGGCGGAATGTCGGTAAATTAACCGCTAATAGCGATAAGATTAAATATATGTTTATAGATAGATGATTGATATCTGTTGAAAATCGACTTTTGTAAGTTATTTAATGCGATTGAAATTGTTGTCTATTGCGTTTTAACTTGCGAGCTCTGTCTTTAAATAAACTGCACATTACTTCTAAAAAACCAAATTTATTTTTCAATTATTCTCGCAGAAAATAATTGGTTGAGTCTAAAAAATAACATTATTTTAAAACTTACAAACTGAGGACAACTTGGCTAGTGATCCTAATTGAAGTTTCGTAAACGTTTCATATGCCTATTTAATACCTTTCAATAAAAACAATATAATTTTTTAGCATAACTGGTATAATTAGCAAACATAGTTACTCGCAGTAAATTAAATTATAATTTAAAAGTCATGGCAACTCTGTAACATTTTAGTACCACCAGTACGCATTATTAATTTCGAAATCAACTTAGAAAGCATATTTGTGGTTTTTTTTACCTTGGTAACAGTTTTAGACAGTAAATAGCAATAATAAATTACATTTTACATTTTCCGTGAAACTTTTCAACAAATAACAGCTGTTTGAAAATTCAACAAGAACCATTTAGGGTCATTCCCTTAATTGCTAAAATTTTTTGTTGAAATTTCAACAACTCAGGAATTCAACAGTTTAGGGAATCCCCTCAATGTAATTCAAATTGTTATTCCCCCTGCGGCTTTAGGGGGTTAATCGCTGGCAGTGTTGAAAAACGTGCTTGTTTTCGTTAGCTTTTTGTTTTGTTGGTGTCCCCATTACGTGAGAATCGTGTTCGGCCACTCCACTGGAGAGTTAATTGCATAGCCCCGATCGCTTCGATCCCCTGAATCAGTCATAAATGCTAGCTGCCAGAATGAGGTTCGTTCAATACCTGCGCAAAGGTGATTTGGCCAAGCGCCTTGGCTTCCTCTCCGAGGACCAAAAGTCGCTAGTCGAATTCGCCGGCTTGGAGGGCGTGCCCAGCGATCTGAAGACCCTGATTGCCCAGAACCCCAACCTGGAGGAGCTGGTCCAAAAGGCCGAGAAGCAGCCGCGGCTGGAGGTGAACGATGATGTCACATTGCTGCCACCTCTCACCGATCCCGGCAAAATCATTTGCATTGGTGAGTTAGTTCCGTGTGTGGACCTTGACCTTCAAAATAGTTCCATCATTTCCCCGCAGGCCTTAACTACCAGGACCACTGCGATGAGCAGAACAAACCGGCCCCCAAGGAGCCCATGTTCTTCAGCAAGTTTAACAACGCCCTGGTGGGTCCCCAAGATAATGTCATCGCCCACTCGGCGAGCAACGTACGTAGAACACGAGATAACAAGAGATAGCCCCATCGAGATTAACAAAAAAAAAAAACGAAAAACTTTCCACAGAAAATCGATTGGGAGGTGGAGCTGGTCTGTGTCATTGGCAAGGTCGCCCGCCAGGTGCCCAAAACCCAGGCGATGGACTACGTCTTCGGTTACACGGTGGCCCAGGACATCTCCGCCCGCGACTGGCAGAAGGAGCGGAATGGCGGTCAGTTCCTCATCGGCAAGTCGATGGACACTTTCCTGCCCCTGGGACCGGCTGTGGTGCACAAGAGCCTGGTGCCGGATGTCTACAATTTGAATCTGAAGACCTCGATCAACGGCGTGGAGAAGCAGAACGGCAATACCGGCAACCTGATCTTCAAGCTGGACGATGTGATCAACCGGCTGACGCAGACCATCACCCTGCTGCCGGGCGACATTATTGTGACCGGAACGCCCAAGGGCGTGGGCATGCACCGCAGTCCGCCGGAGTTCCTCAAGCCCGGCGATGTCATCCAGACGGAGATTGTCGGATTGGGCAAGCTGTGCAACAAGGTGGTGGCCCCCTAAGGTCATAATTCCCTATTATTTGTTATACGTTTGTACAGTTATTTGTTGTTTATGAAACAAAGGCATTTAATCAGTGAGCTAGCAGTTTTCAATGGTAATCAGGAGTGGGCTAAGAAGATGTGGTATCAATCGATTTCAATTTTGTATGAAAAGCAAACTGAAACACTTAAATTTAACAAGCATGCGATTACTGCACTTAAAATTGCTTTTCTATTACAGTTTAAACGGAAAAGCTTCTACATATTTGACTTTTTAGCAAAAATAATACATATTTCTATGGTTTTTATCAAACGGGTTGGTCCATTAACCCCACTAGAAGAATCTATGCCCATTTTATCAAGGTCTGATTACTTTTGATCTCTTGAAAACATAAATTGATCTTTAACTATAATCAGATAATACATATTTCTATGGTTTTATCAAATGGGTTGGTCCAATAATCCCACTAGAAGAATGTATGCCCATTTTATCAATGTCTGATTACTTTTGATCTCTTGAAAACATAAATTGATCTTTAACTATAATCAGATAATACATATTTCTATGGTTTTTATCAAATGGGTTGGTCCAATAAGCCCACTGAAATAATCTATGCCCATTTTAACAATTTCTGATTACTTTTGATCTATTAAAAATCAAATTGATGTTTAACTATATCAGATATTAAGAAACCAGGCCGAGGAATATTTAAAGATTGAAGTATTATCATTTAATCAACAAGTCCAACAAGGTTAGACTTTAAATGTCTTCGACTGGGTGGCGTAGTACTCGTTGCGGCTGTGATAGGGCCTGTAGGGATCGTTGATGTAGTGCTTGGGGCGGCGCCAGAAGCTGGTGACCATCTTGTCCAGCAGCCAGCTCTGCGTGGCGTTGGTGAAGACGTGCTGCTTGAGCCGGCGGCGCAGGGCTGACGATTTCTTGAACAGCTTCTTCTGGCGTCCGGAGTGGGTGCGTATCCAGGCGCCCCAGTCCAGGCGCTTAAAACGCTTCAGTACCGCCTTGGCGGTCTTCCGTTTTCCCTTGATCAGCGAGAACTTGGTCACGCTGCGTGTGTTTGGTGGTGATCCCGAGGCTGCCAGGCCTCCGGGCAGCTGGAGGAACTGTGGGGTAGCAGGAGACGACAGCGATGGAACGGGCAGCAGACTGGGGCGGCAGGCCAGAGTCACCAAATTGGCACGTTGCGTCCGATGGACCAGAGGAATCACCGATGGTGCAGCCGGCGACTGGCGGCAAACGCTGCGCAGAGCTGAAAGTTATAGGAAATTTCAAGTCCCAAATATGTATCACATACTACAGCACATTAACTTACCGCTAGTCACAAAAGTTCTTAGCATTTCTCTCACTTAAATTGGCTAAAACCCAAAATAAACTTTAAAGTCCATATAAAATCGTAAGGGCTCTTCCTCTTCTCGTATCGCGTAACAGCAGCCAGCTGTTTTTATTTTTCATTCACAGCGAAGCAATTACAATCACATGTTAACATTCAATTAGAGGTGGGTACATGTAGTGCATATCGTGATAAAATTAATTTAAGGGGGATTCCCAAGAAAATTACTATTTAACAAGAAAGGAAGCTACCTTCGGCCAGCCGAAGCTTATATACCCTTGCAGATAAAAGAATGCTCACTCGGTGCAGTTCCAGGGATTCCAGATTCAGCGTTTCTATTTGTTTAAATTTTGTTTTTAGGTAGTCAAGAATCAAAAAGCCTACTTCCTACAAAGTTACAATGAATTTTCTTATATTTGTTTGAATATTCCTATGGGAGCCTTAAGATATAGTGGTCCGATCCGGCTCGCTTCGACATATGTACTACCTGCAATAGAAGACTTTCGGGAAAGTTTCATCGCGATAGCTTTAAAACTGAGAGACTAGTTCGCATAGAAACGGACAGACGGACAGACAGACAGACGGACAGACGGACAGACGGACAGACGGACATGGCTAGATAGACTCGGCTATTGGTGCTGATTAAGAATATATATACTTTATGTGGTCGGAAACGTCTCCTTCACTGCGTTGCAAACATCTGACTGAAATTATAATACCCTCTACAAGGGTATAAGAAGTAAGTTCGGGCCTCACTTTTGAAACTTTTTTCTATTCAATTTAAATTGTAATATGTTTTTTAGCTTGTTAAGTGAATTTAAAATGGCAAGACTTCGGGACTTTGTTTAATTTGGCTCTAAGCTGAGTAAACCAAATCATAATTGATAGTAAGATTTATTCTTACAATGAATCTATGATATACAATTACAAATGTTTAATAGCCTGTTTACAATCAATTGTTTTAAAAGAATAATATATACAATTTTAGTAGTAATTATCAAGTGTTCTCTTCAAAAATAAACCAAAACTTCACTATGTTTTTCGAAAACCTAAAAAATTTGTGTTTGTTGTGACGTATCGAGAAAGTTTGTCACGCATCCATCTCTAAATCAAACGTATTCCGACTGGCCTATCGCATAAATGCGTATATGTTGCCGACACTTTTCCCCTCAAAACACAAGCCAAAATTGAATGATCTAATTCCAGTGCAGCCGGCGAAGGAGCAAGCGAAGCGAAAAGGACAAGCAGGACGCAGGACACGAGTGCGTGTGGGTGTGAGTGTGTGGGATGGAAGAGGAAGCAGCAGCACTGGCCAGCCATTCACCCACCAGCGCTGACGCAGTCGAGCCAGCTTCGAACGAATTGGGCAAAATTTAATTCACGCCGCCGGGACTTGAAATTCACGGAGCCGAAGGAGCAGGAGCAGCAGGATCAGAGCGAATCAACACCATGTATCGGCTAGCGGTGCGAGATCAGTGCAAGTGCGCCCTGCAGGTGAGTTTTGTGCCTCGTCAATTTCTAGCTGTTTGATAACGTGAAAATCGATCGTCACGTTGCCGCACACCCCCGCGCGCCCACAAACAAGCGGTTGGCGAAAATACAACAAGAGGCGCTGGTTATGTCATCTCCCAAGCCCAGGAATTGGGCGAAAAGCTCCAAAATTCCAGTTGTCCAAGGGAGCGGGGGTGTCTGCGGGTCAGCCAAGTCTCCTTGCCGGATGTCCTAAACCCTTTGCCTTTGATTTCCACAGCGGACGCTGCAGCAGACGACGTCCACAAACAACAGGCAGTTCGGCGGAAGCAGCAGCAGCAGCGGAAGTGGCAGCAGGGAGCAGGGGCGGCGGCAGCAGGGGCAGCAAGGACACCAAGGATACCAGGGCCTGCCGCCGCCACCGCATATGCGCGAAGCCGGCTTCGGCAAAGTGGTCCTCTTCGTCTCCCCGCTGGCAGCCGTCGGCGGAGTCATCACCTACGCCAAGTAAACAATTTAACCACCCAAGAGTTGTATACCAGATACCAGATCTTTTCCATAAATCCCCTACCCAATGAAATTCGGGTCCTTTACTCATAACCCAAAGATATCGAGGTTTTTACAATGCAGAGGCATTTATTTTATCTTATGACGAGTAGAGCGAACTGAAATATTCTCTAAAACTCCTAAAATCAAGCTAAAATCATTGATATTGGCTTCTGTTACAATGCAGAGGCATTTCTTTTATCTTATGACGAGTGGAGCCATCTGTAATACTCGCTAAAACTTCTAAAATCAAGCTAAAATCAAAGATATTAGTTCCTCTTACTATGCTAACATTGAAATCCCAATAAACCTCCAAAGAATCAAACTAATATACAACTCCCTTTCCAGATACGACGACGACTTCCGTAAATTGGTGGAAAAGAATGTCCCAGGCGCCGGTTCGGTCATCAAAGTGGCGCTGCAGGAGGAGCCGCCGTTCAAGGGCATCACCAAGAACGTCAACGACCAGATCGACAAGGTCAAGTCTGGCTTCGAGACGGTCACATCCACCGTGGACTCGGTTACCTCAAAGGTGACGGGTCTGTTTGGCGGCGGCAGTGGCGATGAAAAGGCCAAGAAGGCCAAAGTGGAGCCGGTAAAGGCCACTCCAGCCGAGGAAAAGAAGCCCTCGAAGGCGACCGAAGTCAGCAAGACTGAAGCGAAGCCAGCGTCGAAACCCGAGAAGCCAGCTGCAGCGCCTGTGCCTGCAGCTAAGCCCAAGGAGGATCCGCTGCCTCGCGAGGTCGTCGAGCTGGAGAAAGCCATCGAACTGGCCGCCCAACTGGCCGTCAAGGAGTACAACAGCGCCATAGGCGTCTTGAAGGGGTAAGCATTAAATACATTTTGAAGATTATTCTCAACAAGAACTTATGTCGTATTTTAAAATAGTTTCGTCGTACATTAATGCATCATCGTTAATTATAGACGGCATATGTCATAAAAAGTGCCTTTTATAAAATGTATTATCTAAAATCTGTACCTCAGCTATATAGAACTAAGAAATAAGTTTTTAAAAGGACATTAAAAGCCAAAGAAGCCATTCTAGCACACATTTATATTATTTTGAATGATTTCTCTAAGCTTTACCATTATTTCCTTTTCAGCTTCAATGACGATGTTCGCAAAGTCGTGGACAAGGCGGTGGAGAACGGGGAGAACTCTCTTTGGACCACGCTGAAGAATCGTGCGAGTGCCCGGGATTCGGCGGTAGCAACGGCGGAGCGCGCAGCTCGTGAAGCCCAAGAGAAGATTGGTAAGGCTACTAGCTACCAAAGTATTTCAAGATTAAATCTTACTTTCCCCATCAATTGCAGTTGCCTGCGAGATCGCCCTGAGTGCTGCGGCGACGGCGCAAAACGCCAAGAAAGTGGAGGCCGTGCGCGATAAGATCAAGAAGCTGGTCGATCACATTGGCAACGTGAAGGACGAACTGTACCGACACAAGGACACCGCCAGCGTGTCGGACAAGTACTGGCGCAATGTGGAGAAGGCACGCAACTACTTCATTGACGAGATCGAGTCCATTTTCCCCGGCCTCAGTTTGGCGGACAAGAAACTCAATCTGTCCAAGGAGGACCTCGACTTGTTCATCCTGCACGCCTACACCCACGTCCTGGCCTACCAAAAGGAGCTGCAGCGCCTGCAAACCGATGGTGAACTGCGCCTGAAGCGGGCCATTGACTCGGTTCGCGGCGACAACGATTCAGAGGCTCTGCGCGCCCAGCTGGAATACCATTTGGAGGCTGAGCGGCGCAAGCTGGCTGTGGAAAACCAGAAGAAAATCTTCCACATCCATGCCGAATCCGACAAGCTGCTGCGCATGCAGCTCAAAAAACAGGCGGAGGCCCATGCCGATCACATCAAGGACATCGTGGCCCAGCGGGAGACGGATCTCACGCGGACCTTTAAGCGCGAGCTGGAGGATAAGCTGGCCTCCGAGAAGGCCAACTATAAGCTGCAATTGGCCGCAATGCTGGGCAAGCTGCGCGGCATGGACGCGGCTCTAGCAGGTGAGTAAACCTCTTAAAAACTAATCTCTTAAGCTAGTTTAGTCTGGCTTGAAATTTAATCGATTCATAACATCCGATACATGCCGCTATTTTAGAGATAGAGGATGAGTTTCAAGGTATTTTCACAAGTTAAAAAGTAATTACATTGATTAGTTTATATTTATAGTATTTTTTAATTTTATTTTAGATCCAAAAATATTATTATAGCTTAGAGTTGCAGTAATAACACCTCATCCTAATTAACATTTATTTTTTTAACCTTTTTCTAGAGCGTGCGGATGCAGAGCGTACTGCCAATCAGGCACAGGCCTTGTGGGCCGCCTGCCAAGCTCTGTGGGCCTCCGTGCGCACTGCCACTCCCGGCGTGCACTACAAGGAGAAGCTGCGTCCGCTGAAGAACGAGCTCAACGCCATTGCCAAGGTGGCTAGTAAGTTACAAAATATCTTCTGGACGGAAGTCGGAGCATTTCTAATACGAAAATTCTTACAGAGGGCGACGATCTGGTGGCAGCCGTGCTGCAGAGCGTGCCTCAGGAGGCTCAGGAGCGCGGTGTCTATCCCGAGGAGGCGCTGCGTGAGCGTTTCTTGAACGTGGAGCGCGTGGCGCGACGACTGGCTCTGGTGCCAGAGGATGGAGCCGGCCTGCCCATCTATTTCCTGTCCTATCTGCAATCGCTGTTCATTCTGCGACCCGATAATCCCATTTCCAAGGACGAACTCGACAACAAACCCTTCGACTACAGCAAGCTGGACACCTACGATATTCTAAACAGGGCCAGGTAACTAGATTCATCACATAGTATGAGCAAAAACTAACCCTTTAATATTCCATAGATACCATGTCGATCGCAGCGACTTCCTGCAGGCCCTCAAGTACATGAACCTGCTGCAGGGCGCATCCCGCAAAATTGCCGGAGAATGGATTAAGGAGGCCCGCCTCATGCTGGAGACGCAGCAGGCGGCCAACACCCTGATGGCCCACGCAGCTGCCAGCGGCCTCTTGTATTTGTAGACTACGTCCCACATCCCCTTCCTCCAAAAACAAGAAGATACACTTATTATTTGTTATTAGTCCAGGAGAAGACGGAACGACAGCCACTAAACGCAAAAGATAAACAGCAATATGTAATTTGTCCAATTAGAGATCACAGTTTAAATGAGAAAAACCCTTATATATATTTGTAACATTTTGTTTAGCTTCAATTATACAAATTATATATAGAGAAACACCATCATTAAATCCACTACAAAATATTGGGAAGGTCTTCAAGAAGTGGAACCCCGGAATTTTGATCGTTCTGTGAATTATTGCTGCTGGAAATTGGAAACTTTTTTATGGTGTTCTTAAAGAACATTGTGATTAGTAAGGGCTACAATCTAATAGTTGTTTAATTTATCGAAACAAGAAAGAAATAAAAATCCTACGAATAAAATATTTGACTAGTTTACAATTTTTGAAGCGGTGACACAGATCAAATAAATAGGCTATATTGGCATTTATGTACGGTTTGATTCCTGCCGGCTTGGTTGAAAGGATTTCAATGTAGCTTTTGGATTGATTTTTTTTTTAGCTTTTTATAAACATTTTGGTGTATGATTTAACATACATTATATAACATTATATTCTCTGTAGATAATAAAATGATGTTGCGACCAGAGCCTTAAAGAAATTCTACAAATGGGATAGTAATTGAATAAGTTCAACAAATATAAAATAATTGTAAAGTATTTATAAATTAATTGCGTTTATATTTTATTAAAGCTCACCTACACAAAAACGCAGTGTAAATGGGTATTAAATAAAAGATTAAATGTAATATTTTTCTAAATTTTAAATCAATACAACATTCACAGTAAACAAAGTCAAACCCCATAAAATGTGTTTTTTTCTGAATTTCTTTTTTCAATAATCGCATATTTCCGTTGCCAATTTTCGCCCGCCAAGATTGCGATAGCTGGTCGTTATCCAACACTGGACGCGTTTCGTGGGCGGCTGTAGCCAGCCCTGGTAGCCAGAGCCAATCAGCTGGTTTGCGTGGTCGATTTGGTCCTATTGAAATTTTCGGTTTGGCACCGGAGCAAAAATCACATCGCAATCAAATTTCCCGTGCTCACAGGATTCACGTTTGATTTTTGAGCAGCAGCCGGAAGACCTAGCGAACCGATTAGCAAAATGTCGATGCTGGCGAGAACCGTTGGACGCACCTTCATGCAGGTAAATGCTCATAAGATCCGGACCTCTTACATAAACACTTGCCCGCGACGCGCTGTGCAAATATTTCTGCACTGGGGCCCAGTTCTCTTTTTTTTTTTGAGGTTATAATCCTAGCCAGCTCCATCCCTAATTCTGTATAATTTCAATTCTTTTCAGGCGGCGGCAGCACGTAGTCTGCACACCACGTCGGCTGTCCGGTCTTCGGTGAGTTATACGCGAAATTTCGGAGGCACTAGAGGTAACCAGAATCTCTTCCGTCTTACAGGATAGCTACGGCGCCAACAGGACCACCTGCACACTGGTTCCCGGCGACGGTGTGGGTCCCGAGCTGGTCTACTCCCTCCAGGAGGTCTTCAAGGTAGCTAACTGGTCAAGATTCCTTATTTATAAACAGTCTAGTCTTCCTGTACAAAACATTATGGAAGAAGAATCTTAAAACTATCATGGTTTCTATCAGGGACCGTAAATAATCATTATTTGAGATTTTTATTTTAAAAAGACTACTGTGATATTTTGTTTTAAACGTCAAAAATAACGTTCTTTTTACTCTTGTCCACAAAGTATATGCATTTCAACAAATCTGGAAAGCAAATTATCTGTTATTTGTTCATGTCTATAAAGTGCATAAAAATCAGTTAAATTGTTGATTAAAACTTGTAAAAACCTCAGTAGGCCTTTTAAAATAAAAATCTCAAATAATGATTATTTACGGTCCCTGGTTTCTATAGATAATAATTTTAATATTATGAAAGAAGAAGCTTTAAACTTCAGAACTTTTGAATAGGGCATCATTTTCAAGGTCCTACAAATATTTTGGAAGATTAATTTTTGACATTCAGATCAGAATATCCATTGTAAAGGCTTAGAAGATTCCAACTTCATATCTTTGTATTGATGAGTTTGTCTCCATACATGATAAATATATTCTTAAACATTATGTTAGCTTTTTAGTTTAATTTACTGATCACTCGTAGCGTAAATGAATATTGAAAAAATAATATTTGATAACATTTTAATTTTCCCCGATCACGAGTGTTTCAATTATATAAATCAAAGCACCCCAACTTATCTACATCGTAAAGATATGTGATAAGTGGCTACTTAAAAATATTTGTAGATTTATATGGGACATCCTCTTTTAACTTTATTTTTGGAACATTATTTTTGCTTCTTTGTAACAAAGTATATTTTAGTTTTAAATTCTTCAAATATCACAATTGAAAACAGATTTCAGGACCTATGATTAATAAGATTCCCCTTAAGTATTTATTAAAAGAGTTTTGATATGCAAAATAATACTATCTTATCTTTCAGGCAGCCAGTGTTCCCGTGGACTTCGAGTGCTACTTCCTCTCCGAAATCAACCCAGTGCTGAGTGCCAAACTCGAGGATGTGGTGGCCTCTATCCAGAAGAACAAAGTGTGCATTAAGGTGAGCTGCGGTCGGATCAAATAGCATGATCACGTCTAACCGATCTTCTCCAGGGCGTTTTGGCCACACCCGACTACAGCAACGTGGGTGACCTGCAGACCCTCAACATGAAGCTCCGCAACGACCTGGATCTGTACGCCAACGTGGTGCATGTCCGGAGCTTGCCCGGCGTGAAGACGCGCCACACCAACATCGATACGGTGATTATCCGTGAGCAGACCGAGGGCGAGTACTCGGCTTTGGAGCACGAGTCGGTGCCCGGCATTGTGGAGTGCCTGAAGATCGTTACCGCCAAGAAGTCGATGCGCATCGCCAAGTTCGCCTTCGACTACGCCACGAAGAACCAGCGCAAGAAGGTCACCGCCGTGCACAAGGCCAACATCATGAAGCTGGGCGACGGCCTCTTCCTCCGCTCCTGCGAGGAGGTCTCCCGGCTCTATCCCCGCATCCAGTTCGAGAAAATGATCGTGGACAACACGACCATGCAGATGGTCTCCAACCCCAACCAGTTCGACGTGATGGTGACCCCCAATCTCTATGGCGCCATTGTGGACAATCTGGCCAGTGGTCTTGTGGGCGGTGCTGGTGTCGTGGCCGGAGCCTCCTACTCCTCGGAGACCGTGGTCTTTGAGCCGGTAAGATAATCGAAGAATCCGTTTAGTTTTTCTACTGCTTTATATTTTAAAAATTACCTTTTCATAGAGGTAAAAAGAGTACTATTTATGTAAATAATTCAGCATGCTCAGGAGAATTTAAATTAGTTTTTAGTCGACTAACTACGAGTTTAATCTCCAGTATGACTACTTTTTGTCGAGAGCTTAATCTGTTATAAACTCTGATTTACGAGACCCTCGACTTATCTCTAATTCCGATTTCTGATTGCAGGGTGCACGTCACACCTTCGCCGAGGCTGTCGGCAAGAACGTGGCCAACCCCACTGCCATGCTGCTCTGCGGCGTGAAGCTGCTGCGCCACATCAACCTGCCAACCTACGGCGAGATCATTCAGAATGCCATCAACAAGGTGCTGAACGACGGCAAGGTGCGCACCAAGGATCTGGGCGGACAATCGACCACGATGGACTTCACCCGCGCCATCATCCTGAACATGTCCTAGACGGACACCACTGTCATCGCCGGCGCGATCAGCAAATCTTCACCATCGTGGGCAACAACGTTGGCGCTTATATAACCGACATTAGACAGTTTCTGTTGTTGCCACAGCTAAATTTGAATTGTTGAAAAATCACCTTTAAAGCTCTTAGTTTCCTATTACGTCCAATTTTTTATTTGTCCCGATGTCTTCAGTGCATTCATTTGAGTATTATTTCCGGCGAATATTTAAGTTTAGTCCAATTGAAACGCCCCAAGACCCGCCCCGAATCGAACCAGCGAATTCTTTAGTTTTACCAATTGGCAGTAACACATTGATCCTTGATTATGTTGTAATTATTTATGTATTATTTTTCCCCAATTTTGATTTTGCAAAGATCCACTTATACGGCCGACCTATACTTTGTCTACCTTGTTGAATAGCAAAAAAGAAAAAAACCGAAAACAAATGATATTGCTAAACCAATTTAACTGATAGCGGATGGCTTTGAGTGGACCCACTCCACTGGAGCTGTGAGAAAGATAACAATAAACTCAAATCTAAATTAATTATTATTTAAAAGCCATTGTCAGTTCGAGCTGTCTAAATTTTAAGTAATACAAACAAAAGAAAAAAGACAAAAATATTCGATAAAACTTGTTTGCCTTTTGTGAGCTGTCATGTCGAAAAATCGCAGACGGGCATGAAAACCATTCTGGAACCGGATGTTTTATCGCTATTCGCAACTCCTTCGGCACTCTTAGGAAGAGAAACCCTCTTGGCATCGGCTGATACTTCGGAATTTATATTATAGTTTAAAGAAGGATCATAGATTCAGTCTGAAAGATATGGAATCTTATCCCTCCAATGAAACCTCATAAAACTCTTACTCTAAAAAACCAACGACAAATTTAATAGAAAACTATTACCAAATATAGCCAAAATGCAAAACTTAGAACGCCAATTATAATAGTACTGGTTATGGTGAGCCTCTTGCCCTTTTTCAGAGGGTTTCAACCGCCCTTCGGCTTGGCCAGCTCGATGAGACGAGGCGAGGCCTTGGCTTTTAGGGCCGCCGGCGAAATGGCGAACGGATTCTCCCGGATGTGCGTATTCTCGAACTCCTTCGGCTCGGCCAGCTCCTTGATGCGCGTGCTCGGCTTGTACTTGAGCGCATTCGGAGCGATCCCAAAAGGATTCTCCTTGACATCCGCCATTCCCTGGTTGGCATCGCGCGACGTGAGCGGCACGGACATCTCCTTGATGCGGGCACTCGCTATGGGAAGAGAGGAAATTGGGATTCATTATAAACAGATGGAAATAAAATCCCGAAATATCTTAATGTAAAAATATTAATAATGTATACAATTTATTAATTTATTTTACTATGATTATATTAAGTACTTACGCTTGTAGTGAAGGGCATTGGGCGAAACCTTCTCGGGCGTCTCGTTGATGTGCACGTTCTCCCGCATGACGGGCTGTGATATTTGTTTGATCCGCTTGGTGGCCTTGTAGTCTTTCATCTGGGAGGTCAGTTCCCATTTCGGCTTGATTTCCTCCAAATAAGCCTTGGGACTCGCCAGTTGCTTGAGGCGCTGGGGGTCGAACTCCCCCTCTCCGCGTTCCTAAACGAAATAGAAAATTATTCTTGAACTTTATATTTACTTAGTAAGAGGGTAACTTTAAATTATAAAATAAAAAAAATATTTTTCTAAAGCTTATTTTGATCTCAACACCTGGATTTGAATATTAAATTGGCTGTTATTCATATTTATTTTCGAATATATTTTAAAAGTTAGTAGTAATACTCTTACCGGTTTTGGGGGTTTTGGCGTTTTCTTCGGCTTCGCCAATTTTTCGATGTATTTTTCGTGCCGAGCCAACTGCTTTTCCGTCTTCTTCTTCTTTTTCTTTCTAAAATGGTCGGAATCATAATATTATGATTAAGTTTTAGTGAATTTTTAAAGTGTTCGGAGTTTTGAAATAATTATATTAAATATTTATTGAACCTGCATCGGTAAACTTACGGTTTTACCAAGGGCTGGGTGTTTGCGAGACGACTGTAGAGCGACAGGTAGCTGTAGCGCAGCCACCTGTTTAGGATGGACTCCCCAACGGAGTCGCCGACCAAAATGGCCGTTCTCCGCCTTTGGAGCAGTCGGCGTACCGTGGGCAAAGCCAATTGTTCGGTGCGTGTGTGAGTTTGGGTGTCACAGGGGCGGACCATTTCGATGGTCTTCGGGAGCGGACAGGCGCATTTGGGCACAAAGCGGCAGTGGCGTCGATTGGGGACGGCCATCTCCATCAGTCGCTTGCGCTTCACAAACATGCGCTGATGGCGCCGGAACAAATGGTCCAGCTCCTTTCGAATGTCCCCGACGAAGCACTCGGCATCGTAGGGAATCGGGTCCCGGATGGGACAGCAGTCCGGGCGGACACAGTCCTTCAGCCGCAGACATGTGGTCAACTCCGGGCTGAGGTCACACTTCAGTCTCTGAATGGTCATTCTAGAAGTTTCCGAATTTTGCGGCTTGACCTTACAAACAATTTAATAAATCTTCTTTTTTCTTTTCTTGGCTTTTATAAAAACATTTACGATTATCTGAACAAGTCGAAAAGGAAGTTAATCTGGGAATTTTTTTAAAAGATCTGAATGAAATTTATGGTTTGACAGAAAAGGGAATTTTTTTGTTGCTGATAATTTAAAACTTACCCATATTAAAATAATTATTTTTAAAAATTATTTTAGTGCCCCAAAATGTGAATAAAAATTTTAGCTTAGTTTTTACCACCCCATTAAAAATGAAAACAAACATTTAATCTTTTATTAATGTTTTATTGACAGTATTCATAAAAATACTGAGAGTATGCTCCAAGTTCACATCATTACAAGTTAATAGTTTTGTTTGGGGTTTGTATTTCCTCTGTCTCTCCTGCAAGTTGTTCATTTCTTTAGTTTGGTTTCTGACAGTTATTGTATACCTGCTATTTTTGTTCATTCTCTTCACATATACACAAATCTTATCTTTTCCATAAGCAATTTTTGCCTGCCTCCTTGTCTTTCTCAACTGGTCTGTTTTTATGCTTTTTTACAATGTTTTTGCCATACATTTGAGTTAGTTCGAAATGTTTTACCTTTTAATGTCTTGTTTTTGGTTGCAATTCAATTGGAATTCAGCAGTTCAGCACATGTTTTTGTTGTTTATAATTATTGGCTTCAAATTTAGTGTTAGAGTTTTTTATTGCAACGAACGAAAAAACTTGGAAACGAAAGTGATAAGCATAATGTTAATAATAATTGTTATACACTCACATCGAACTTATGCAATACACTCATACATACACAAATATGTACTATAAATTTGAATTTAGCATTTACTAGGTCATTTTTTTTGTTGACAAAAATTTTGCTAATTTGAATTGGGTTTTATTTTTCATTTGATATTCGATTTGTAGAGAATCCCACTTGGCATTCGCGTGTGTGTGTCGATTTTATTATTTACACAAAAGGTCACCGCCAAAGCGAAATGATAATTAGAACTATGTAAATTAGGGGGTCTCTTCCATTATCTTTTTCTGTATGCCATCCAAATATGTATGTTTTTACACTTAATCCTTTTTAGTTTAAATTTTCCTTGCATATCGTATACGTTTTCGTCTTACAAATACAATTTTAATCAGAATCTATCCAAAGTTATCCTGGCCTGAAGTATTTTCTGCACTTAGATATTTTTGTTCCTTTAGATTTATTTTTGACACGCTAAATATATATAATATATGTATATAGATTACCAAAAGGGTTGCTCCTTCTTTTATGTACACACATACGATTTTCTGGGTTTTGCATAATTTAGCATAGTTTCACAATTTTTGAATTTTACTTAGATTTTTTTTTCGCTTTTTAGATATGCCTCCAAACTTGATTTAGCTACTTTACTTTTTTTGTCACCTTTTTTGTGTTTACGTTTTAGTTTTAATTTTAATTTACCGGTCTTTTATTTCATTTTTATTTAAATCATTTCTTCTTTAGTTGGTCCCTGAAGCTGTGTTGAGTTAAGATGTACGATTCCTTTGGCTCGTCTGTGTTAGTTTTTGCCTCTATTGATTTTGGTTCGGAATATTCCAAAATTGGTAAGTGGGTTGGAGCCAAAACAATTCTCGAAAGTGGTGAGAGTCAACTTAAGAACTGAACTAAAAACAAAACTCAATGAACCGAAATAAAGTTTCAATTGCCTTTTGTTGTTATTCTGTTTGTTGGTGTTGTTGTTGTTGGTAATTGCATCTGTTGAGTGCCAATTGTTGTTGCTCATCTCTTGCATGTGAAAATGGAGCAAATATTGGCCATGTTAGAAGGGTTATTTTTTCGGCTCCTATCACGGCCAATATTTACTTTGGGCTATTGTTTAGTTTATTCATATTTCTGTCATCTGTCAATTATAACTATTGCGTATAATGGTATTAAGTATCTTGTTGCAATTGTTAGACTGTGCTTAATTTAATATTCATATTTCTTTCTTATCTTCTGCAATGTGTGAACGGAAAGCCTCCTGTGGTGATAATAAATTAAAACGATAAACGAATGGTTTAACTAAAATATTTTTCATTTTATTAATAAACGTTTAATTCGTAAATATATTGTATATATCTGGTTTTTTGCGTTTAAAACATAATAAGTAAATAATAAAGATAACGAAAATTATAAACTTAAACTTAGTTATGTGTGTCTGTGTAATAAAATAACAATTATGCACGCCTTACTAAACAGAATTTTTGCCGTCGCTGTTGTAAATATTAATTTAAGGTTTACAATATATTTATTACATTTACTTTTGTGTAAATCAAATTAAGCGAAATTTTATTATGTTTATAAATTACTTATAAAATTAAACATATTTCTTTTTTGGATTTCTTTTTCAACGCAGAACAAAGTAAATTTCACATTTTTGCTGCAGTTTTAAGTTTTTTCTTCATTTTTCGGTTTCTTTTTTAAAATCTCTGCTTTTCGTGTCTTAGCTTTAATGCTAAATACACTTGCTGTACTTATGGGCTATTGCTAATAATAATGCGAATTTTTTTATTTGCTTATTGGCTTTTGTTTTCCACTAAAATAATCGTTCATTTTTTAATTTTGCAGTAATTATGTAAATGCAAAAAAAAAGGTTCTTTGCTCTATTTTCTGTTTTGTAGTTTACCAAAAGTCTAATTTTATGAATTGTACTTACATCAGTTTGTTTGTTTGTTGTAAAAATAATGAAAAATATTCTCAAAACTTTTGCCTGGCTAAGATTTAAGTTTTCTGTGGTTGTTTTTTGCTTTTTTTAATGCCAATTGCTTATAACTATTGAAGTTGTTGGTTTTACGGATTGATTGATTGATTAATTATGAATATTATTTTTCTAGGGCTATTGTTGTTGTTGTAACTGTAACTGTGTGGATCTGTTGTTGTGTTTTAAAGTTAATAATTGAAATAAAAATTGGTTTGGTTTTTAATTCATTATGTTTTTTTTTTCTATTATTGATATAATAGTTTTGCCTTTGCAGTTCGATTTGGTGCTGCTTCTTTTTTCCGATTTTCGATTTCCTATTTCTGATTCTGAGTTTGTATCTGATTCTATTGCTTGGCTATGATCGATCCTAATTAAGTGGCTATTGTATCGGTTATGTGGCTATGAATACAAATCTGTTTTGAAGAAACGGTTCTGTGTGTATCTGTATCTGTGTTTGGGCTTCTTGTTTAAAGTTAATTGCTGTGGCTATTTCTATTTACTGTGGCTATTTAAGTTCTGTAGTAAGAGTAGTACTATTGTTTAATAAAATTGTGGTTGCTGCTGTTGTTTGTTGGTTGTATTTGTGGATAGAAAAAAGAAAAGTACAATCGACTTTAGGCTGTTGTTTGGATTTTATCTGAGCTTTGGATACATCTATTATCCACTTTGTATGTCAATTAATTCTGTTAATTAATTATATTTTTATTTTGTTTTTTTTATTCAATTTTTGTTTCAATTATTTTCGGGCTATTGTTGTTGGTTGTTGTTTTTTTGTTTTTTGTCTGTGCTGGGCTATTTTGTGGTTGTTATCACGGCTGGGCTATTGTTTCTTAGCATTTTTTCGCTTGTGATCTTTGCTGATCTCTGCTGATCTTAAGTTGTTGCGGTCGCTCAAGTTGAACTTAGGAGAAAAGTTTTGAGTTCTTTTTTCTGGCTTGTGATGTCTCGATCTAAACAATGAGAATGTGAAGAATTTCAATTTTTGGACTGAAGCGTGCGCATAATAATGGAAAACCTAGGCGTAGTCTAACTGCTATTTAAAAGAGTTATGTGCACTTAAAATGATTTTTGATTTTCGATCCATACGGTAAACATATGCTTTATTCATCCTTCTTGGCATCGGCAAAGAAAGCTTGTAAATTATATTAATCTTTAATGTTAATATATTTGTTGTTGGTTGCTTGGTTTTGTTTGAAACAATTGCACTATAGTTCAAATGATGTTGCCCATTTAAGAAGTCAATAAAAATAGGGAGTAATAATTCTAGTAATAATAAAAAAAGAGGAGAATACCATAAAAATGTTGTCTAATATGTACAAACCATAAATCGAGGCTAACAACGCGCTAAATATTTTTAGTCGGTATAATAATGAATAATAATTATAGTTAATGCTATATAATATTTGAAAATAGAAGTTGATTGTTTTATGTGAAGAAATTTTGATTTGCCTACGTTTAGATCATAATTAATAATAATTGTAATCGTAATCATTTTATGCGCTAAACTAAACTCGAAAATAAACTCTAATTATATATATGCACTTATATTCAGCAAATTTTGATTCGCATTGAACAAATTAGATTTTATACACAAATATGAGCAATTTCATTAAGCACGCTAGAAACTCTCTCTTTCTTCTCTTTTACTTTCTCGTTCTCAAACCATTTTAAACAATTATATTATGAATATATCAATTTTTAGCTTGTTTTCTTTTCATCGATTTTTTACAAATATTAACTATTATGTTGTAGTAAAACAAAGAATAAGTAATGTATGGGTAATCAATCTTGTTTCTCTCCGAAAAATAAAACACGTACCTGAGCGTTTTCGCCTGCCCACCTGGAATTAAATAGGGGGCGTAACCACGCCCCCTCAACCGGGTGAACACGCAAAAATTCTATACAATTCAACATTCTCAAGCTGTTACTCAAATACACTCGATTGGTTTGTTTTGTTTTTGTGTTTAGACCTACCACTAGGTTGACATTTCGACTGTCGACTTGGTTTCTGCAGTTATGTTCCTTCGTTAGGGTTTTATCTCAGGCCCTAAATTCCGTTTTCAGATTTCGATCTGATATTAGTTGGGCTGTTTGTCCAGATGTGCAGTGCGTTTCAGTTTCCAAAATCAATAGAGTTTCGATCTAATCAAAGCTAACAAATCAAGCTTTTTAAGAATTCTATTGAATGTCTTTTGGTTATGAGACGCACTGTACCTTGAGGACCTGTTGTCTGTTTGTGTGAATGTTCTCTTGGTTTTTTTGTCATTTTCAGTTGCCTTGGAATTTTTAGCTAAACTTGCTTCGAAATATTTTCATTGTTTTAACACGTTTTTTTTATAACATTTGTTTCTTAAATTTGCTTATTTAAACCGTATAATTGCACTTTATCTTGTTTATTATTTTAAGTTTGATTTTCTTTTTTTATACATCAATTTTTGTTTTTTTAATGTTGCGAAATTTTCTTTATAATTTTATTTTGTATAATTTTGCATTATAAAAGACTTTGCGTTATTTTTTCTTTTAATTTTGACTTGAACTGGTAAACATTATTCCAAAATATATACAACTATATATGTTCTGAACAGTACCATCGGGCTTGTCTCCTGCTTACTGTTTTCTATTTTCAGTATTCAGTTGCTGTTTTAGTGATGTGTGCCGTAGCTTAAGAAATTCTTTTGGCCAAATGCAGATTCCAATTTCAGGGCTCAACTGCATTTGTCCTTTAGCTTGTGCTTGGTTTAGTTTGGTGTTATCCGATCTGTCTACAATTTCTTTACAGGGGTGTGTGTTTTTCTTTATCCATTGGTTTTGTCTTTTTGCATATGCCTAGCCAACATTATTTCAGAAAATGCTCTTCAAAATTTTGGATTATTAATCACAGATAGTGTGTCTAATATATATGTATGTATATAATAAATATTTATGTATACTTCAAATATAATTAAATTAGCAATAAATACTTTTTGATTTATTTCCATTCATTCTTTACCTACTTTCGCTTATTTTCCCTCTTCATTTTTTTCATATAATAAACATTTTTTAATTCCTTTTGGTTTGCAGAAATCTCCTCTTTATACCAAATGCATAATTTAAGTAATTTTGTTTTTACATTTTTAAGCCTTAACTTTTAATTTTGTTTTCCGTTTGTTTTTGATACTAAACCACAACATTTATGCACATCAAATGTAATTTGGGAGATTAGCCAATAAATAGTTTTTTTATCCATTCGCATCGTGGAAATTATAAATATTTTAAATGCCTTTAAATGATTTCCATGTAATTCTTAAACGCATTTCGCATACAATTTTCCACAATTTTCCTTGCCATATCTTTAATTTTTTCCCGTATTATAATTTACTAAATATTTTCAAATATTACCGACAATTTTTCCTTATTTTGTCCCCTTTTAAATATATTGTATATCGTTTTTGTATGGTTTTTCTTTTGACACTTACTAGCTAGCACACAAAATATGTTTTTAGGTACATTTATATATTTTTTCATCTATTTTCATTTACGCAGACATTTAGTTAGTTGTTTACCCATAGATAGAATTTCAAAGTCAAACGAAATGTAGATACGTCGAAAGGAGGGCCAAAGATTAGGGGGGATAAACTGTGTAAATATGTTTTGCTCTCCTGTAAAAGAGTGTGTAGAGTGTATAAGTACATTTAAATATATTTAGTTGCTCAAAATGATCATGTGTTTGGTTTGAGGTATACGCGTAGTGATGAAGACACACACATACATAAATATACAAATATATATCATATGGTATATAGTAATATAAAGTCTTTATATATTTATGCTTTTTACTTTTGGTGGTTAGGCGACTGTACATGAAATGTGTGTTCTCACAATTATTTTTTTACTTTTAAGCCAAAATCTTGAAATTTTCGATAGAAATTTCCGTTTTTTAAAGCCTAAACACAGATAATTTTTTTTTGTCATTTTTCTTTTATATTTTTTTAACACCGAAACATTTTAATTTTGCTTAATTTAGTTCAATGTGTGTGGCATTGCTTCAAACGAAAGTAAAATTGTATGTGAGTTGAAAATGTTTTGGGCATTCAATTTGGATTTTTGAGTTTATAATTTTGCTAAATTAAAAGGTTAAATTTTGGGGCTCTTATTTTTGAATTTTTCATTCTTTTTACTCTGCGTTTTGCGTTTAATTTGAATTATTATTTTGTGTGCTCTGTCTCGCTTTGCTTACTAATTTATTTAATTTGTAAATGTGAAGGCAGCTTTGTTTATTGATTTCCGTTTGTATTTTCCTCTTTTGAAATCATAAAAAATGTAGAATTTTTGTGGATAATTTTGTTTTGGTTTTTTTGTGGTTGTTGTTCTTTTTCGGTTTCACTTTTGAATTTTGCTATTTCAATGTTTTGGTGTCTGTTTATTCTTTGTATTGTAGAGTCTTGTATTATTATTGCTGGTTTTGTTGGTTGTTGTTATTGATCGGATATTGATGTTGTTGTTGTAGTTGTTATGGTCTCTGCTGTAGTTATTGTAGTTGTTGTTGGCTATACTCTTTCTGTCTATGTCGAAGACATCTGCCTGGGGTCCTGGCCCCATTTGAGCTGGGAATTTGACTGGTATTTTGAACTTGTGTAAGAAAGTTGTGTAAATCGAAGAGAAATACATATGGAACATAAGAGTATCTTATGGAATGTGCGAGAATCCCTGCTCCAGGACCAAGGATCTGCCCAGACAGACGTCGATTAAGTTGTTGTTGGCTTGTAACTGCTTTGCTGATTTGCTGTTGGCTATATATTTCTGCTATATATATATTATATATATTCCCATTGGACTGCTGTTTCTGTTCAATAAAAATATACTCAACACAAAAATGCGGTTCAAAAACGAAATGCAAAATGAAAATGGTTCTTGGTTTTGCTCAGTATGTTTTTTGTTTTTCTTTTTGGTCTTAAGGTTTTAGATTTTTGTTTTATGTTTTTTGTTGTTTGCTTTTAAGAAAGTTTGTACAAGAGAATGCCTATTTGTCGATTGTCAAAACGAAACAAAAATATACATTGTACACACCGGGGCATAAATGTATGTTTCCTTGCTTGCTGTTTTTGTTTTTTTTCTTCTGTTTTTTGCCTTTCTCCTATGCAGTTGATTACACATTTAACTAAGGGCTAGCGCACATTTACCACTTCGGTCAGCTGGCTGGCATATATCTAGATATATATTTATATATATTTCTATATAGTGTTTTGTATGGTACTATCAAAAAACGTGGCTTGATTTGGTGTTCCCCCCGCTCTCTCGAGAACCTAGAAGCTGTAGTAGTGGGCGGCCAGCGGTGGCCAGGCGAACGCCGGATTCGCGGCCATTGGCTGCTCCTATAACTGCTCCGCCTGGTCCAGCTGCTCGGCCTTGATCTGCGCCAGCTTCTCGTGCAGTATGGAGGAGGAGGCTGACGAGGAGGTCGGTGTCGTGTGTCCAGCGGCCCCCTCCGTTTCGCACTTGATGTGACCGCTGCTGCTGCCATTGAGATCCATGATTTTGTGGTGATTCTGGTGGCCGCCACTTTCGCCGCTCTTCAGGCTGCTGGCATCCGTTTCCGAGTCATCCCGCGAGGTCATCCGACTGCTCCGCCCGTTGCCATTGGCCTGGCCATTGCCACCACCACCTCCCTTGTTCTTGTTGTGCGCCAGATCGCTGTTGTTGTTGTTCGCCGTGATGTGGCTGTGCCGGCTGGCCGAGTGCTCCTCATCGCTGCTGCCGCCGCTGTCGGCGCTCAGCCTTTCCCGCTTGATGTCCGCATAGTTGCCGATGGGACTGCCCGACCGCTTCACACTCTCCCCGCTGGCACTCGAGCAGGTGGCTGCGTAGTCGTTGTTCCGATGATTGGTGAACGGCAGCGGGGTCTTCTTCACCAGCAGCTGATCGAGCAGCGCATGTCCGTGGCCGTTGCCATTGCTACTTCCGTTTCCGGCCGAACTGGCGCCGCCATTGTCGCTCGACTGCGACAGCGTCTTCCTGATGATCCCGTCGTACATATTCTCCGCCATCTCCTGGGCGCTCTTCATCAGCCCATGATGATTCGCGGAGCCCTGTGGATTTCGTATGGCCTCCGTTAGACGGTTAAAGTCCAGGCCATAGGCATTCGGTGCATTCGGCTGGGGCCAGAACATATTCGGCTGAAAGGACATCTGCTGCGGCCCGGCCTCGAAAAGGGGCAGCTTCAGTCCGTTGGGCGTGGCAGCTGCCGCTGCTGCTGCCGCCGCCGCCGCCGCTGCAGCCGCCTGGTTGTTTTGGTTCTTCAAAGCGTTGCTCAGCTTGGAGCTTGGATGCGGACCCGCCTTCAGCTTGTCCAGCTGCAGCTTGTTCGCCGGTCCCGTCAGACCCACCAGATCGGGCTGCGGCTTGGGCTCCCTCTTGCGTGGCCTCATCAAATGCCGCTCCTTGACCTTGTACTCCAGCGTCGAGTGGGGCACTCCATAGTAGCTGCCCGCCCGATGGACAGACATCTCACCCCGCTGCACCGCCTTGACCGCCTCCACCAGACTATCGCGATCGTAGTTCCTGTACTTGCCCCTCTTCGGACGCGTTCCCTTGCCCGCCGCCAGAGCAGCTGCCTCCTGGGCGCTCAGCTGCTGCTGCTGCTGCTGGTGGCTCAGGTGGTGGCCACCATGGTGCTGCTGCGAAAGCAGATTAGGTGAGGCCCCAAACCGCGAGGTGTCCGTGCCCCCGATGATCTTGGCCACCGAAATGCTCGGCTTCTTGTAGCCCAAGCCCAAACCCGAGGAGGAGGAGCCCCCATTGTTGCTGCTGCAATCGCTGGCATTGCCGTTCCTTAGGCCGTGATCGCTCTGCTCGTTGATCTGCCGCTGGATATTGCTGGCCATCATCTTCTGGATGCTCGAAGAGGAGGAAGCCAGCAGGCTATTGCCGCCGGCGTAGCCTCCTTGGGCCACGGCGGCCGCCAGCATGGGCGAGGCGGAGTGGGGACTGCGATTGCTGCCGTTCCGGTGGCTGTTGCTGCTGCTGTGATTGCTGTTGTTGCTGATGCTGAGGCTGTTGTTGTTGTTCAGCGGATGGTGATGCTGCTGCTGGTGGTGCTGGTGGTGACCGCCCGGCGAAAGGCTGCTGCTGCTGGCCGGACCGCTGACCTTGAAGGACGGAATCTTCAGTATGGGATCCTCGCTGGCATCGTTGGCGTCCAGCGAGGAGTTCGTTTCCGGAGTCTCCGATTTGGGCAGGCGATGTCGATAGGCGGCTATCGGATGTTGCTGCTGCTGCTGGTGGTGCTGCTGCTGCTGATGTTGCTGCAGCAGCAACGAGGCATTGCCGTTGCTGTTCTCCTGACTGGCGGACAGCAGATTGAGCAGTCCCTCGTTCATCATCCCGCCACTGTTGGCCACCAGCAGACCCTTGATCAGATCGCCCACCGTCTGCGTTTCATCCAACTTGGGCATGGCCCCGATTCCGGCGGCCAGCATCAGTGTGTGCAGCAGGACATTGGCGTCCAGCGGAATGGAGGGCTGAATGCCACCACTGGCATTGCCATTGCCGCCGCCCCCCGAATGCCGCCCCATCTTGGGCGATCCCCTCTCGAGATCCTCGCCGAGATCGCTGCCATTGTGCTCGGACGACAGGTGGCTCAGCTTGCGCAGCTGCGACCTGGCAAAGTCCGCCGGATACGAGGGCGCCGGCGTCGAGGCATTGCTGTCCACCTCCGCTTCGCCATCGTCGTTGGAGTCCTCGGGCTCGCGCTCCTCCCCATCCTCGACATCCTGGTCGAGGTCGTGCTGCATCTTGAACAGCCGGTTGACCAGAATCGAGCGCGGCACATGGTGCTGGCTGGCCGCCTTCCGGGGACCCAGCTTGTTGGCCACCACGTCCTGCAGCGCCCGGTTCAGATCCTCCTCGCTGTACGCCCTCCTTCCCGACGGCGTGGGCGTGGCAGAGGCTCTGCAAGAGATTGGGGAGAAATTTATAGTTATTCATAAGACTTTGATGATTTTTATACTGCATATCTTCGTGTAAAAAAAAGTTTGGAAGGAAATGTAGTTGATTTACAAAATATAGAAACCAATGCTATTTTATAAACCAAAAAAAATATTTTCCGCCAACTTTTAATTTTTGGAAATAACCATTTTCCCAATTTGTATTAATTGTAATTTCAATTTTATGGAGGCAAATGGTAATTATTTACTTCTTAGTTTATATGTATAATTATAAATATTAATTTATATATTTATATCTTAATGTTATTTCAATTTTAGTTATAAATGTTTTCAATTTCTAGATTATTTTCTTGTTAAAACTGTGAGTTTTGTCAACTAAACTTGCTTATCGTTCAATACAGTAAATAGATGGTGGCGATTGCTTTACGGTGGATTTTATAAACGTCATATTTTGCTTTACAGCCACTCAGGTGTTGCGATAAGATACGGTTTTTCTGGCATTTCTGCTTGGATTTCCCTTAAATATACGATGAAGGGCCTTTCGACACATAACAAGCAAACCACCCAACGAATCTCACCCGCTAAAAAGTCAGCAAGTCAATCAACTTTTATCTCCCGGCAATTTGCGTCAGTGGGTTCAGGCTTCGAGGGTAATATTTTTTGGCAGGACCATCAAAGAACTTGACAGCCACTTCCCTTTTTGGCTTAGCAGAAAGCACTCCTTTTTTTCGGCACTCACACACACACACACTCCCCACCAATACAGACACACGGGCACTCGGGAGGACTGACAATGAGTGCTTCTTAAATGTCTGCAGCAGGCAACGAGGAAAAGACGACACTGCACTGGTGTCAAAGGCAAAGCCAAGGATGCCATACAATCTTTTATCATTTTTTTCCCCCATTTCGGTGGCCATTTTTTTTGGGAAAAGACAAAAGATGACAAGTCAGGGGAGTCTGGCTGGGGAGTCGGCGGGGAGTTTGGGGCCAAATATGTTTTTGAAGTTCATTAGACGAATCCCAAAAAAAAAGAAAGAAATACAAAAACCGAAAAGAGACATTCTCCAGAAAAGCAAAAAGAATAAACATTTTTCACTTAATATCAACGCGAGCGTGAGTCCAAGCGCATTTCCTTCTACTCCCACTAACTCATCAGGAAGAGGCAACTTTTGTTTTCCGACAACAAGAACTTGGTTGCACTGAGAAAAAGTTATGATATAAAGTATAGGGATTATTAGAAACTTATTTTTATCGAAATTTAGCGATTCATTACATTTCTTCCCAAATATTCCAACCGGTCTTAAAGTTTACATTTTTTGTATGAAAATGTGTGACATTCCATTTAAAAGACACGTCAAAAATAAAATTGTATGAATTGTCTATGACTTTCAAGATAGTTTTTAAGACAATGCTTAGTAAACGTTTTAAAAAATACATATAAGAAAAAAATCTAATCTAAAACATCCAATTGATTTAATATTATTTTGGGTTTGGGACAATAACAATTATATTTTCCCGATATCATTAAATTTTTTCCTTCCTTAAATTTTACAAAAACAAAAATCTCCTTCATTATCCACCTACAATTAATTTCCCCAAATGTGGATAGATTTTCAACGTGTAAATTTTGACTCTTCTAAAATCCCCTTGCAATCTGTAATTTTTTGCGAGTGCCGAAGCTGCACGAAATATTTCTTTTCTTTATGCGCAACCAGAAACGAGACGAGCTCGAGACCCTTTCTTTTTTTCGTGGGCGGCTGGGGACATTGCACCGGCGAAGCAGGGGGCGTGGCAGGTGGAAAGGGGGAGGCAAAACGCACAGCTTCTTTAGCGCCCTTCGCTGAGGGCTGTGGCACAACAGGAGGCGGCGGCCCTGGCAAAAGTTGATGGCAAAGTCATAGCAACTTTTTTACTTTTTTTTCGCCACCCCCTCCCGGCCCTACGCCCATTTGTTTCGGAGTCCTTGCGCGTCTGGAAAATGTCTGAAAATTGTGCAGACAACACACAAAAAAAAAGAAGAAGAAGAAAAATGCAGGCTAGAGGAAGAAGAAGAACAAGAGGCAAGCGAAAGCGGCAGCAGGTGGCAGTGAATGTTAAACTGTATGATAGCTGATGGTTTTTTTTGGATGGGGGAGAGTAGGTTGAGGGGCGGGTTAAAAAGGGGGCAGCTAGTGGAGGCGTGGCCCCGGCTGACCGTAAGTGGATTGGGCTGTGGGCGGTAGCATCATCATTAATGGCGACAGTTTTTCGCATTTTTGCTCATTTTGCATATACAAAATAATTTACCAAAAAAAAAATGGAGAGGCGAAAAAAATTTGCATAATTGCGCAGAACCGAAAAATGGGGCTGGGAAATGGGCGGCGGGCTGTGGGCGGTGGGCGGTGCAGGATTCCCCCACGCAAAGGATGGCGCGCGGGAAAAATAAATGAAAAATGTCATTTCAATGTCGTTTGGATTTTTTCGTTGGTGTCGTTTACCTTTTGGCTGCACTTCAATTGCAATTTGCCATTGCAACAGCCGTCGCTGCCTCAGTCGACGTCGCTGTCGCTGCCGCTGTTGCAGCTGCAGTTGTTGTACAACATGCATGCATTTGTTGCCGCCTTTGTTGTTCTTGCCGCTGCACACGCATGTGGAGAGCATTCATTTGCACCCGAAAAAAGTACAAAAAAAAAGAGGCGAACCTCAAACCCTTTTTTCCCGCTTTTTTCCTCTTTTTTCCGTTGGCGTTGCAATTTTTCTGACATTTTGTTTTAATTTGTGGCAGCGCCAGCAAAAGGGTTGATTTTTTTTGTTCGCCTGTGTGAGTGCGTGTGTGCAGATTTTTTTTGCACATTTTTTGTTGTTGTAATTTTGACGCAACTGAAATGCATTTCTTTAGCTGTTGTTGTTATGCGCATATTGCATTTTTGTCGGTTCATCCCACACCTTTTGTTTGCTTTTGGTTATACGAATGCATGTACATACGTTAACATAAAACACCCAACCACCCACACAGCCCCTGAAAATGTTGCCTATAACTTTCGGTTTATTCCGGCAGGGAGACATTTTTTATTTCAGCTTTAACAACAATTATATTTGGCTAGGTAATTGTGCAAACACATTAATTGAGGTGTGATTCCAAGGCGGAGAGGTCAAGCCCATGGTCAGGTAAAATTAAGGTGGCAAACAGTTAAGGGCTGTTCTTTTTAATTAAATTATGTACTGGAATAATTTTTTCATTAAAGATAGAAAATAAAAAAAAATAACGAATTAAACTCTGTAAGTTAAGGATACTTTTTCCTATAATAATATAATAACTGGCTTCAAATAAATTGATACCTTTTTTTAATAATAAACGTTTAGGTTTTACCCAAGGGGTTGGGTAACCTACTTTAAATAAATAAACTTATAGAACTATAGACGCTCTTTTAAAGAGATACCTTTCCTCTCAATTTTATAGCCCTATTCAATTACACTTTGCACTTTTTTCATTTTTGATTTTTGGCATTTCACTGCAGTTCTTAATTTTTGTGTGTCTGTCAATTTGGTTGCGTGTTTGGTGGCCGCTAAATATGCCAGGGGCGTAGCTGAGGGGAGGGCCGCCTGGCTGGCATTTCACTGGAGGAATGGAATGTGGGGTTAATGGTTAAGGGGGAGAGGTAGAGGGAGGGGGAGGGGACGGGGGCTAGGGAGGGGCAGGAAGCCGCTGCCGCTGGCTCCGACGGGCGCACAATGCCGTCAACTGTCCCCCGTTCCAGGCTGGCATTTTTTTTGTGCACGAAACGTGTGTGTGTGTGTTGACAACGTCGAATGCAATTTTGTTAAAAATGCATTAAGTGCATGTGTGTGTGTGTGTGTGAGTGCCTACACTTGATGCGTGCGCAACGAACCATCCACCCGCCACCCCCTACCTTCAACCCTTTCCCTCTACTCCCGCCCCCTTCTTACACACACACACACACACACCAACTCGTGCATACATCAACGCATACAAGAGCCCAACCTCACACACACATTCATTGCAGTTGCATTTTTTCGGAAGATATGCACTCATTTTTTTTTCGACGCTGCTGTCGACGTCGACGCCGCTGCAGCTGCATTTTTGTATGCACTTACTTTATTTTTGTTTCTATCTCGCTCATTCACTCACGCATATAACGGCAATCAGGCAAGCTTAAAAAAAAAGGCAAAAAAATTGCTTTAAAGGACCTTGTTATACCCTATATTTAACCAAAACAAATAACCACTTGGCAGCTGAACAGAAATTACATTGGTAGTCGCTGATCATAGAATACTTCGTAATTCTGGATTTTAGAACTTATAATTTCAGTAAAAATGAATTCTTTACTACCTATCTTAAGACCCACATTTCCCTACTATGGAAGAGTGGTTAAAGATTAAAGAATTATTTATTCTGAAATAATTCTTATTTTTTTTAAAGATCTTTCGGTTTTTGATTTTTTACTGAGAAAAACCCAAATAAATGGGTATAAAATCGGGCAATCCCGATTCAAGCCACCGTCCAACACTCATTGAAATGACAAAAATATGGAAAAATAAGTAAATGAGAGTGGTGATGGGAAGGGACCGGGAAAATAAAATAATGAAACCGAGGGGGGATCCATGAAACCGTTAAAAAATTGCTGCCCTGCAACAATAACAATCGCAATGGCCAGTGCACGCATTAACCTTTTGTTGTTGCTTCTGTTGTTGTTGTAGTACCTTATATATTTCGCTCATTTTTTGCACTTTTTGTTGTTGTGTGAATTTTTTGGGGCCAAACGCAGCCGACTGCGCTGTCGACGTCGGCGTCGCCGTCACTCTTTGCCAGTTATTACGTTCGCAATCTCTCTCGGTTTTTTTTCGGTGTCGGTGTGTGTGCGTGGGGAGAATTTTTCGTAAACGAAAAATAATGAATATATACCCAGCGACAATCCCCGCTTACCACCTACCCCTACCCCTCCCCCTTCTTCACCCTATCCGTAACCCGCCGAAAGTGCATAGAAAAAAGTAGCAAAGAAGAAAGACCAAAAATACGAAAAAACACTGACACTGATGCACAGAGAGAAAAAGTCAAGAAAAACTATTGTCATCCCTGGCTTAGAAAATTTCTAATTATAATAACTTTATAGTTAGGTCTAATATATGATTTAAGAATACGGTTAATTATGCACTTTTATTTAATAATATTAAACGAAACCGTTTTTGATGATTTAAGTTGCCATTGTAAAATTAGTTCACTTCTTTACTTTGGTAAGAATATTTCTAAGATACATAAGATGATTTAAGGATACGGTTAATTATGTACTTTTATTTAATAATATTAAACGAAACCGTTTTTGATGATTTAAGTTGCCATTGTAAAATTAGTTCACTTCTTTACTTTAGTAAGAAAATTTCTAAGATACATACTTTAATAATGATTATTAGATTAATTATGGTCTTGGCTAAGTATTTTCTCACTGCACACACACACACATAGAGAAAGTAAAACGCAGCTTGCAAAAAAAAGCGATCGATATGATGCACTCATTTTTGTCTGCTGCGCTGGGCGACGTCGACGTCGCTGCTTCAGCTGCTGCTTTTGCTGCTTCGAGGAGCGACGCCGTCTCATCATCCTCAGCATCAGCAGCCTGAAAAAAATCTGTAATAATAAACGCTTGACGAAAAAAAACTCCAAAAATTGCAGCGTCAGTGGCTTTTGTGCTTCAAGTGGTTTGATGGTCTGAGTGGGTTGGTAAGGGGTGGTTTTGGGTGTGAGGATGGGTCTCGGTCAGCTGGTTGGCCCCCATTGATGAACACTTTGGTCGATCGTTGTCTAATGCCTTCATCAAATGACGAGAAAGCACAGCAAAGAGTGTATAAACGAAATGTTTAAAAATTCTTAAGCCTTAAAAAAAAGGAGGATATAAATTTTACTAAAATTGAGTCAATTTTTGAAACACCCTTTTCAAATATTTTTAAATTATTAGCAAAATAATAAGAAAATTTTTAGTTTATTGTTAGTAAACCGAAATACGATTAAATCTGATAGTTATTTTAAAATTTTAATTAAATATTTAATATTAATAATTAAATATTTTCTCCAGCTGAAGTCTTTAAAATCTCGAGCTTTTCGCTTGGCTTGTCTGTGCCGTCTGGATTTTCTTACTTTTTCTTGTTTGCATTTCCTTGGCTAGATCTGACTTGCCATGTCCCCTATCGCTCCTTTTTTCACTTCCTCTAACCCCCTTATGTATTCATGGTTTTTTGTACATTTTTTTGACACATCCTTCTGGCTTTTTTTTGTGTGTGACAATTAAAATAGGTGTACGAGATGGTGCATGGCGACGATGGCGGCTGCTAACAAACACTTGGCCATGCTTTAGACAATAGACAAGGACTCGTGCTTTGCGGCTCAAGTGGCAGCCGCCATCGTTGCCACAGTCGCCGGTGCATCAGCAGCAGCATCAGCCAAGGAGCATACGCAGAAAACGGGGGGTGAGGGGAACGAACCAAACCAAACCATAACCAGAACCGCAAACAACAAAAAATCCCACCAAAAAAGTAATGACAAAAATTGTTGGCAAGTGCTGCGAAATTATGCACACGCTCTGTCGTCTGAAGTGCAAACCTCCAGCTCCACCTCCACCTACACCTAAGCCCAAAGTAATAATAAAAGGTGCTGCTGAACATTTTAGAGTAATTAAAAAAATAGCAGGCAAAAAACACAAAAAAAGAGTCAACGAAAGGCGAATTGAAAAAAGATTGCGGAGCTGCTGAAGGAGTTAAGATGCAGCCACACAAAGCGGAATACATAAATCCGGCAATCTTCCTTTTTCTCCTTACATATATAATCTTTCTTTTTTTCGGAGATTTCATGTAAATTTATGCAGCCCACCTGCCTAACGCTGGTAATTAAGCGTGGCCGCAACGGGGCGTATGTGTAATTTTCGGCATCGTTTCATAAACCACACTCACTCACACACACGTGGGCAGTGGTATAATTGCACAATTTTTACATAGGCTCACAACAATAAAGCTTCAACTGCCACAGCATCAGAATTTGCGGCTGTGTGTGTGCGGATGTGGGTGTGGGAGGGGCTGCCCCGTTAAGTATGCTACAGTAAGTGCAGTGTCAGAGGCGGCGGGCGCTGGCCCAAAGTGCAATTATCTCATGTATTGTCTGGCACACGATTCGGTGTTTTTTCCGGTTTTTTTCGGTGAACATTATACCCTACTATATTTTTGGGGTAATCAAATATTTTTGATTGATTTGAGTGGCTAAACACTAAAGCGTTTTCGGCAAAAAAACATTTGCAATTAATTTTAATTAGATGTAATTATATAAATTTTAAGGTTAAAAAGTTTATTTAATTTTAGATTACTTATTTATAGCTTAGTTAATCTAGTTGAATCCAATTGAAATTAGATTTTCATTTTAGATATTAAATTGGTTTTATATAAAATGCCTTTAAATAAAAATAATAATCCAAAAATAGTTTTGATGTTTTAAAATTGGTTGAAACTAACAAAATACATCCCTAACTTTGTCCACTAAATATTAAAATTAAAAAAAACCTATAAATCAGCAACTTAAAAAGAGCATTGCACATTCGTTTCCCGCCTAAAATATTGCTTAATTTCCACCTTTTTTCTCCTTTTCGGTTTTACATGCATTTCCTCTTTTTTTCGTATGTATTGTACTGGGGGTTTTTTAAATTTTTTTTTGGCGTTTGCGCAGATTGCCAGATTTATATTGAGTACATGCTTATACATAGGTATTTATGTGCTGCAACTCCCCTCAATGGGCAGCGGTAGGGGTAACCCCAATTCGGCACTCACCTGACGGACTTCACATCGCCGCTAATCGATGAGTTCGGCGATGGCTTGCTGCTAAGATCGAGCGGTGCATCGGCACTGGGACTGGGCGTATCTTTGAGTGCGGGACTGATTGCGGCTGCAGATACTTCTGAGGTAGTTGGCGTTACCGAACTAGCGATCTGTTGCTGTTGCTGCTGCTGCTGTTGGCTGGCCAGCGAGTTGATCAGATTGAAGTCGGCCAGCAGTGAGAATTGCGCCAGCTGGGCGGCCATCGAGTCCATCGATGTCATTTTGGCTGCCCGCTGGGTCAGCAGCTTGTACAGTTCGAGGGAATTGGCGGATGTTGCCGCTGTTGCTGCTGGTGTTGCTGTTGCCGCAGCAATGTGGCGAGTCCTGTTGCCACTGGTATTATTGTTGTTGTTATTGCTGCTCTGGTGGGGCAGTGATGCGCTCGAGTTGCTGTCACTGTCGTGCTGCTGGGACAAAGGTTAAAGTTTAATAAAAGATCAGGAAACTTGGGAAACCTTAGGATATAAATTCTAAAAATTGGTAAGATTTTAACGGATTTTATTTTAAATATTACATTTTAAGGTATTTTATTTTTTGTTCTATTTAAAAAAAAAATTTGTATTTCCAAAAGTTTTTAAGTCCTGAGATAATTAAACGTTTGTAATTCATACTATTATTACAAGCATTTAATTTGCATAACTAAAAACATTTAAAATTTTCCAAAAATTATAATATTTGAATATAATTTTAGCTTATTAATGGCAATTCTTCCAAAGTAAATTATGAGTTTTTATTCAAAGAATATAATATATTTTAATGAAACCAAAGGTTGTGAAGCTAGAGATAGTTGACCAACCTGATGAATGTGGTTATTACTAGTGCTACTACTAGTGGCTGCTGCTGCTGTTTCGGCCACCAATTCGCCCTGGGCGTTAACCGTTAGCAGGCGACCGTTAACACAGAAATTGCACTTGGCCGACGGTCTCCAATCGTTGGGTTCTGGCGGTGGTGATGGTGTACTGGTGGCTCCCGGCGTTGGTGTACGTGATGAATCGTGTGATGTTTGGTTGTTCTCTGCAGAAAGGAATCAAAAAACATTTAGTAATCTCCAGGGGGTACATTTATGTATTTGTAACCCACCAAAATCCTCTTCCAGCTGCAGGCTGCCGTTGTGGTGCTGCTCTAGACGGTGGTTCTCGGTTTTACAGTGGTTGGGGTTGCCCTGACTGCTCTCCGTGCTGCTGTGCTTGTATTGCGGTGGCTCGTCCTCGGAACCGGCTATTGCTATGGGCTGTTGCTCCTCGATATTCAAGTGGCTGCGCGTCAGTTGCTCTTGATAATGTTTCCATTGCCTGCGACCCATAAATTCTTCAGCAACGCGTTCTAGGCCTAAAAAAAAAAGGAACAAGAAAATACAGGAAGTTAATAAAATATTGTACTATATATATTTCTGAAATATACTTAATATTATAAAAAGAATGGACTATTAAAAAATATAATTATGGTAACATTTGTAGTTTATTTTATAATTGCATTTTTATTTCAATGATCCCCTAACTTATTTAAATTGTGGCCCCACATTTGTAATTTTGCACAGAAGGCTAAGCTCTGGCGCATTAATTATTTAAAAAAGTTCCTGAGCAGTCCAAGAATGTTATGCCAGTTGCATGGCCTAATAAACTATAATTTGCCTAGTGGTGGCAATTAATAAACCTCTTTTTTCTTCTTCAGTCGACCCAAACCCTATTTCTGTTTAGCTCCTGGGAATTTTAGCAGACAGAAATTACTTAATTGAAATGCAATGCCACTAAGTATAGGAGAAAAGTGTATGAAAAAAGCGAAAAAAATCGAAACGAAGCGAAAAAGAAATGGCAAATTGTGTGCGAGGTGCACTATACTTAAAAGGGGCACACGCTGCGTATGCGTAATTATTGAATACGAAATGTGTGCGAGTGGAAAATTGATAGATTTGTGTGTTTGCATTGAGGCGACTTTCTGCATTTCCTTGGCCAACCGTCTTGGCCAGCCCGAGAACTCTAATTGCCGCACAAAAGTTATGCAATTTAATGCAAAATGCATTTGGCCGCGGAGTGGGAGAACAAATGTGCTTGGAGCCTAGCCCCGCCACTTGAAGGGGCAGGCATGCGTGGCTCAAAAGCAAAACTTTTGCGCATATGGCAAAAGGCTACGCGTCAACTCACACGAAATGCGAATTAAAGGAGGGCCGGCCGAAGAAAATGAAGGAAAAAATACACATATACCTGGGAAACCAAAATATAATGTTTATATATGTGTGGCAGACAGAGGGCGGGGAATCCCGGCATTTTGTAGCATTTTTACTGCCCAAAAAAAAAAAAAAAAAAAAGCTGGGCTTATATTTCCAACCGGAAGTTAGAAAGCAGGAGTGTTCAGAAATTCTAGCACCCCCATGTCCTTGTGGCTGTCCCCGTCGTCCTGATTGCGCACAAGTGCGTGTGTTCGGTGCGTGCGTTTGGGGAATGGCAACTTGGGGCTGAAGTGGAGCAGCAGAAGCATGAGGATTGGGGAACCCCTAACCCAAACCCAAACCAGCGACGCACTGCAGCTGCAACTGCTGCTGCTGCTCATTCCGGCGCAAAAGTGGAGCGGCATGTTCAAACTTTTCGCAGTGTAAAAATTGCATTGCTTTCCCAGCTGCAACGGCAACTGCAGTTTTTTAAGCGCTCAAATAAACAGGGTCGTCGTCGTCGTCGCCATCGTCATCGTTGTTGCTGTTGTCGTTGTTTTAGCGCTTCGGGGGTTGCGACGTCAACGCTGCCCCACCGCTTTCCCGGCACGCCTTTCCCCCGACTTTCCACCTGCCACACGCACCGAAAAAAAGGCGAAAAAACGAGGTGAATGCACGCACGGGACGTACAAAACTCAAACTTTAAAATGCAACCAGTCCACAGACACACGCCTGCATTTTGTCGTTAAAAAATTCAGTGTGCACGATAAAGGGATCGGCACGATACGTGAATGCTCTACCAGAAAATGAATATGGGCTAAAAGATTTATTATACTATTATTACGATTAATTTAATCAAATTTGCATAACTTTTATTATAAAATGGATTTGGATTTTCTTTTAAATGTTTTAAAAAGGCTTAGAAATTGAACGGGTTTTTTATGAAGGTGTTTAAAAGTATGCAACGCTTTTATTCATTCACTCATCTTGGAGTGACTCTCTTTTCATTGCATACTTTTTGACACCTTAAAAAAATTTATAATAACTAGCAAGCATTACAATTTAAAAACATTTATTTAAATTGTACAACAACATAAGTTAAGAATACAATTGTTATTAATTTTGGGTTTATTGAAAGCCTTCATACCAGCCAATTTCAAGACCTCCTTCGGCATTAAGCCACGTCCCACCGATCTATCGAATTGTATCAATTAGTTGTGGCTTATCCACTCCTTTCTCATTCAACTTTTAATTCCTATTCATTACAAACCGAGCCACAAATTGCATTCGGCCATCTGCGGACGAAGGGTGCGTGCGTTTTCAGCGAAGGAAGCCCTACGCACAGGCGAAATGCCAGGGGTTCCCCTACTGGTGCTTCTTCTTCTGCTTCTTCTGGGTCTGCCAGATGCACACATATACACACATACAACACAGGCAGAATGCACGCACGCAATGCACTCACGCACACAGCCAGTGTCTGCCGTGTTTTGTCTCTAGCTGCATGAGTGTGCGTTTGTTTTGTGCATGTGGTCGGGGCGACACACATTGCGTATGAAGATGACGACGTCGACGGCCGCAAGGCGGGATTTCAATGCTGTTTTGGGTTTGGGCTTCAGTTTCTGGGTACGGTATAATTTTGCTTCTGGTTCTGTTCTGGTGGTGCCAGTGCCATCATTGCTGTCTGCCCGCGTTCACATTATGCCAAGCAAGCAGCGCCTGAATGTATGCTAAATAGAATTTTTCGCTAGCCGCCGACTTACAGTGGCACCTCGACGAAAGGTGTCTTATATGTTTTTACCTCACTGTTTGTTATTTTAAACCATCTCCTAAGTAAATATAATTACCTAGTTCAAATCACTTAAAAATATGTCCAAAAGTATACTGACATCCAAAAATATATTTTAATATAATTATACATATTTTTTAAAATATTTTCCTAAAACTCAAGCAGATACTGTAAAAAGATCAGTCTTGTTGATTAAAAATATATTGTTGCATACTTTCTGACGCCTTTATTATTGATTAAAAAACTCTACAGCATTATTTTAATAAGAATTGTTATTCAAAACTACAGCCTGCATTTGGATTTCAATCGTTTAATTTCTAATCCAGCGATTCCTGTACTTGGAAAATATATGAAAAATTGTTGTATGTCGATGGTTGGGTAGTCTGACCTATGACTGGGTGTGCTGGTATATGTTTGAATAGGTGTTTGCATAGTGTGTGTGTGCGGGAGAGCTTGCCATTCAAGGCAACGCAACGTGACACGTCAGGTGGGCTGGCGAACTATAGGGATCGGGATTGGGACTGGAATCGGGCTTGGAGTTTTTAGTTCGCCTTCCGTCTCTGCCCATCCTGTCAGTTGGCCTGTCGTCCTGTCTGTCCGTTTGTTTGCTCTGGGGTCGTCGCTGCGGTGCGGTGCCCTAAAACCTACAACAGCCGACTGACAAACAAAAACGAAAGTGCGTTTAATCAAAGTTAGCTATTAAAGCCAAATGACTAAACTAATTGTGACCCGCCGCAGCGGGGCGTATGATTTATTTGCATTTTGTGGGGGATTTTTTTCGCTGCTGCTGTTGTTGCTGGATCGTTTCGTACCTTAAACCCACACTAACCGAAAAAATTGAAGCAATTAAACACGGAAACTCATTTACACACACATACGCTTAACGAAATGCAAATGGCATGCGCCATGAGAGAGACAACGCATGAAAAGTGGCAAAAGAAATGGGGAAAAAGGCAACAGCAACAACTACAACAAACAAAAAAAAAAGAAACGAAAAAATGCAATTATCGATTAATGTACCACATTATATATGGCCCATGTACACGTATAGGTGTGTGTGTGTGCGGAGAGGCCTGCAAGTAGATAAGCCCTTATGTACACATGGCACTTATGTACAGGCATCCGTAGGTATGTTCGGCCAGAAGTCATTAAAAAATTGTTGTTTTTTCAGCCTCGACTGGCAGGCTCATTGAGTTTTATTCAATTCTCATCCTTTAATTTTATTTTCGGGCTGCCAAAGGGGGGTATGTCAAGTCGTTTACATAAGCAAATTACTGTAATGACGATACATTATGTATTGTCTCATTGTTGCAGTTGTCATTTGCATTAAAAGATGTATATATAGAAATATAAATACTGATTTTGTATATGTAATATTTTTTGCATTCCCATGTGCTGCATTACCCCTGCCAAGAACATGACACTCAAGACAGAAACAACGGCAATTTGACATTTTCCTGCAGTTCGCCTCGTTTCAGTTTCGGTTCTCTGTTTTCAGTTTTCAGCTTTTTGGCGTAATGCGTGCCGTAATCAAATGTCAAAAGTTACCGCCAGCCTTGGAGAAGCATACGTAATATTACGTATACGCAGTGTAATTTTCGCCCCATAAATACTGCATTAGTTGAACCGCACAAAGGTGTTGGGCACATGGCCCCGTTCACAGATAATTAGATTCTAACCGCACGTGGCTAAAACTTGATTGGCCTATATAATATAGATTCTTGGAATATTTGAAGGAATTTAAAACCAGAAGAATTCCGACCTCTTATATCCTTTTTGTATTGACTTTTGAACCTAAAAGCACTTAAATGTAAATGTAAGCTTAATAGAATTGATACAGAACTATTATTTTAATCTTTATATTAATATACATTTTCTGCTGATATTACATTTTAACGAAAATAATATGCAATACACAATGGGAATAAAACACAATTTCATTGCCTTAAAAGCCCTAAAACTGTGACTTTTATTTTCCCGCCCTGCTTTTCTCACACACACACACCCAAAAAACGGGCTTATAACGAGAAGTCCACTAAAAATTCTTTAATTAGAAATTCAACATATTGTGGTTATTTTTGTTGTCCTCGTCGTTTGCCCACCGCGACACGCCATCGTATTTTGCATAACATTTTGAGTAATGTCTAATGTCAACGTACTCCCATCCATGTATGCTCGGGGGTGGGACCAACTGGTTTTCCGCAACCAAAAGGCGGGGGAGGAAAAGAAAAGCCAGCTTGGCAGCCGGCCGGCGTCACATGTCCTGCCGCAACAACAAATTGGTTGAAGCGGAGCGGCAAGGACAAAGGGAAAAGCCAAAAGTGCGGCTAAGAAATGAGTTTGGCTAAATCACAAAAAAGTGGCAGCAGCAATGCGTGGAAAAATGCAGGAGGGAAA